CCAAAAATCCAAGATGTCAACCAGGAAGTAGCAAAACCCTGGCTTCATTTTCTCAGTGCAGAAACCAACAGGTGACGTCGCGGTAGCTACGTCCAGCTTTTATACAGTCTATGGGACAAACATGCTTCCGACAGGACTCTGTTGAAATTTTGAAGGTGGCGCTGTGGAGCCATTTTGGCAGTGACATGTCCACGTCTGTGTTAGTTTCCGATTTCCGCCAGTCCCGATGTGCGTGGCGAATTTGGTGAGTTTTCGAGCACGTTTAGGCCCTCAAAAATGCGTTTGTTTCGGCTGAACGATAAAAATAATCACAAGGGTTCCAATAAGGTCCTTGCACTGGTGTGCTCGGACCCTAATAAATCAGTAAGGGTACAGTAGTTTGTTTAGTGCATGACAGAATCTGAAAGCAGATTTATGCAGAGTTATGTGAGTTGGAAATGGTGTGATCATGGCTCCTCTACACTCACGTGTTTATACAAAACAACAACACTGTAAGAGTCAGTTTGTTTTAATCCAATTCTGTAGCCACTTTATATTTAAAAAATGGAAATCTTTACACCCAGGTTATACTGCTTATTATTGTCTGTATATATATATATATATATGTCGGGCAAGACACTGAACCCAAAGTTGCTCCCAATGGCAGGCAGCACTTTGCATGGCATCTCTGTTGCCATTGGTGTGTGAATGGGTGAATGAGAAAACATTGTAAAGAGTTTTGAGTGCCGCTAAGGTAGAAAAGCGCGATATAAGTGCAGCCCATTTACCATTTCCCATCTATACCTACTCAGGCTCTTTGTTTTGTGTCGAAACATTTTGCTGTGCACTGTGTCGTGTACAACTGTGTATGTAACAAACAATTGGATTGGATTTGATTATCAGTGACTTGATTATCTCCCTCGCAGGTTTAATCCAGTTGGGAGATGTTTGCCATAGCTACCAGAAACTTTGTGGAGGAGGTGGACAACGGAGGTCTGCTGATCCCGGTGTCCAGCGTGAACGACTCTATTGCTCCTCTGCGGGTGGTGGTGAAGCGAAAGCGATACTGGTTCTGGCAGAAGCACAAGTATCTTCCCACTGATTTTGTCCT